GAGAGGGAGAGAGAGAGATAGAAACATCAATGATGAGAGACTCATTGATCGGCTGCCTCCTGCACACCCCCGACTGCGGATCGAGCCCGCAACCTGGGCATGTGCCCTGACCGGGAATTGAACCCCGATCGCCTGGATCCTAGGTCGACACTCAACCGCTGAGCCACGCCTGGCTGGGCTGGGCTATACTTTTTAATAATAGCCCTATCTGTATACATAAGCCTTAGAGATAGGTTATTTCTGTGTAACTCTGTTGGTATTATATTTCTTTCCCTTATATATTTATTCCTGTCCCAAACTATCTGAAAATACTTCCCATTTGAATGTGTATGCTAGAGATATTTTGGATTTGAATGGTAACATTTGATTAATACAGACATGCTCTGTGATCCTATTGTATAAATGTCGGAAGACCCTAACATGAAAATGAATTAATCTCTGAAAGTTTCTGCTTAAATGTTGGATTATGCTTAACCTATGATGTACCTGAAATTCAGAATTACTGTATAACTTATAAAGATTAATTTATTAAGTGCCTAGGTTAAGTACTTTACATACAGTATTTAATTTAATTCCCACAACAGTTATGAAATAGGAATTATCCTTATTTTATAGAGGAGGAAACAGACTTAGGGGGTAAACTATCCTACTCAAGGTTACACATTAGAAGGTGGTGGAACCCGGGATTTGAAGAAGGCCTACCCAGAAAGCTATGCTCTTAACTACTTTAAAGGAAACAATCTCAGCATCATTTATAACATTGTTCTGTGAGGAAATGTGACCCATAGTATGAGGGTCTATTTATCAGCCATAAAAACATCTTTATTGCTGATCTGAAGGTGGTTTTCGGACTACTACTTTTGTCCTTGCTAGTCTTTGGGATTCACTAGCAATAGGCAGTTTTCTGAACATGTTTTATTACCTTACCTTTTATCTTCTTCCTTTTTCTTTGCATAGTCGTTCAGCCATTCATATTCATAAGTAATTGTGAGTTACATATTTAGAATTCTTGTATTACCAGGATTTACTTATTTATTTATAAATGTGTTTATTGATTTTAGAGAGAAAGGAAGGGAGAGGGATAGAGAGCTAGAAACATCGATGAGAGAGAAACATCATCTCTTGGCTGCCTCCTGCACGCTCCCTATTGGGGATCGAGCCCAAAACCCGGGCATGTGCCCTGACTGGGAAGTGACCCTATGACCTCTTGGTTCATGGGTCGATGCTCAACCACTGAGCCACAATGGCCAGGCACCAGCATTTATTTTTAAAACGCAATAGGATCATACCCATTTTTACTTATTAAAAGCTAGATAATTTTTTGAAAATGTGTTTTTGAAAATAATTATATATACCATTAACATTGTTTTTAAAAAACTAAATGCATTATTTAAGCAAAATTGTAATAGATTATAAATGGATTATTTAAAATGTTAATAAGCATCTATTGCTTATGTTGGGATATTACTATTTTTTGGTTTTTTTCACTTCTGGAATTCTCTCCATGTTCTTGTATTTTACCAGTAAGGGAGATATATTGAAAATTTCTGTGCTTTGGTTATTACATTGAAAATATTAAAAGGCAAAATGAATTTTAGTAGAAGGAAAGTTACTAAATTTAATTACTTTTTTGTTTCTTACAGTGAACCTTGCACTTGCACTAGCAGCGAATGATTCGGTAGGTGTTTATTAATAGAAATATTAATTTATTAAAATTTTTTTTAAGGCAATGATAAAGAACATATTGATATTTTTTCATTTACTCTGTCAGAAGCTATTAATGTAGCTCTAGTCATTTGCATGTCTTTAAGGAACTAAAAAATCTGCTATAATTATTGCTTTTACTTAATAACACTAATGAAATGAAAGGGGACCACTGGTCACAGAATTTAGGCAGCTAGAAAAAGGCAAGGAAATGGATTCTTCCCTAGAGCCTCCAAAAAGTATGTAACTCTGTCAGTATCATAATATTAGCTCCTTGAACCCATTTTGGACTTCTGTGATAATTTCTTACAGTAGAAGTAAGAAACTAATATAGACAGGAAGTCAATTTTCTTAATTCTTGAATTCCCAAGAATGCCTTTATTTTGCCTTTATATTTGATAGTTTGACTAGATATAGAATTCCAGGTTTAAAATAATTTCTTCTCACTCGGCCAGTGTGGCCCAGGGGTTGAGTTTCGACTCATGAACCAAGAGGTCACTGGTTCGATTTCCGGTCAGGGCGCATGCTCAGTTGCAGACTGGATCCCCAGTGAGGGGTGTGCAGGAGACAGCTGATCAGTGATGTTTCCCTCTCATTGATGTTTCTATCTCTTTATCTCTTTGCCTTCCTCTGTCTCTAAATTCAATAAAACATATTTAAAAAAAATAATTTCCTCTCTGAACCTTGAAAACAAAATTTCATTTTCTTCTAGCATGCTAATGAGATGTCTGATGCTAGTCTGATTCATATTGCTTTGTAATAACCTATTTTTTCCCCTCAAAGTTTTTAGAGTTTTCTTTATGTTTTTTAAGTTTAGAAATGTCCAAATATGCATCTTGTTGTTGGCGTTAAATTTTTTTTACTTGCTTGGAAATTGGCCAAACAGTATCAAAGTTTTTGTTTTTTTCAGTTTAGGACAAATTTTTTCGTTGATTACTTCTTGTGATGTGTTTGTTCTCTCTCTCCAGAAACCTATCAGGTAGATATGGACCTTTATGCTAGTTAATTTTTCTCTCATATTCTCCATTATTTTGTCTTTTATTCTGTGTTTTAGAAGATGTCTTTGACTATTTCTACACTGCTACACTAGGCTTTAGTTGTTATTTAGTCCTGATTTTTAAAAAAATTCAAAAGTCATATTTTTTCCACTTTTTCAGAACTATTTTTTATTTTCCAGTTGCTGTCGCTACCCACTTAAAAAAATGGTTGTATCATTTGTTTGACTCTCTGAGGATGCTAATTAGAATTAATAAAAAAATTTTCCTTTTAATGATCTCCTGTTTATTTAGCATGGTGGTTTTCATAATGTGGTCCTCAGACCAGCAGAGTCAGCATCACCTGGGAACTTGTTAGACATACAAAATCTTGAGCCCCACCCCATACCTACTGAATCAGAAACCCTGAGGGTGGAGTCCTGCAATCTGTGTTTTAACCAGCCCTCTGGGGGATTTTGATGCATGCTGAAGTTTGAGAACTATGGGTCTAGAGGTTTTTAAAACTCTAATCTGCAAATAGCACCTTTTTTTGTTTTCTAATGTTATGTTTTTTATTTAGTTGTAAACTATTTTTTTTCTCTTGTTTTAATGGGCATTTGGAAGAAAAGAGAAAAATCATGTATGTTTAGAGCCAGTAATATATTAAAATTTTTATTATTGTTAGAGTACTTAGTTACCCTGGGGAAGGGACCCTATTTTCCTCAAAGAAGGGAGGAGACGGGAAATTCGGTGGGTGGGAAGGTAGATAAATTTGTGGGGATCTTTATTTTGGCTATTTCAGCCAAAGCTTTGAGTCTTAAGACAATGTGAAACAAGTATGTAATGAGAACTCAAAGGATAAAAAGAATATTAAAAAGAGGTTGATTCCTTGATGTTAAATGCTGCTAGTCTTGATGAGATGGTAACTCAGAAATTTCTTGTTTTCTCTTTCTGTTTTTTTTTTCTTCTTTTAGGGAGCAGGGATGAGGGCAGCCTCATTTTTAATGCTTTATATGGAATTGGCAACAAGGAGGGAAAAGCAGTAAGACTTTCTCTGGGTTACATCTTCAGAAAGTGTTTAGTATCCTTAAGTGTTTTTAAACATGTTTATGGAATCTTCCTTAGGAAGGTCTTCAGTATTCTGTGATCATGAGGAGGGTGTTTTTTTGTATTTTATTCTTTATTTTGTAGCCAAGTTAGTGTAGAAATTAAGAAGAAAGCAAGGAAATTTGAGTAGCACATTGTGATAACTCAAAGATAATCTGGCATAATACAGTATTTTATGATTGGCTACTGTCTTGTTGTCTTTAATTAATTTATATATACTTAAGAAAGACCAATTTTATATAGCTTGTATACTTGATTAATAGTGTTTTTGATTAGGGATTAGCATGTTTGGCTGAAACTGTGATCTGCCAGTGGACTATCTGCAATAGAAAAGAAGGGCTTTTTAATATAATTTATACATATCTGGCATAGTCTGGTACTCTGTTTATCCCGATTTAAGATTTTATTAATATTACACTTATTTAGAGGACATGTTTGGTCTTTAGGGGAAACTCAAGATTTCTCTCAGTCGTTCTATTTGCCTGAATTGGTAGAGATGGCTTAGGTTGTTAGACATAGTACGAGGGTGTGTTGCTTTATGGGGTTAAAAACTCCAGTTAAGATGGTGTCTTTGTAGCCTCTGTAATGATCTGTTGCCATGGAGTTTTGATTCCATGGAGCTTGTATTGAATCACCTGCTTCTCCTTAGTCTAACTATGTTTAAGACCTTGCTAACTTGTTTCTCCTATCTTTTCCATGGGTTGGTGCTTACCCTTTTTCAGCACTGGAGTGGGAAGATTAAATAAGATTAAGTTGTAGACCTAGGGGGAAACAGGTCCAGGAAGTTATTCATTTTACTTTTAATGTTGGCCTTACTAATCTCTAAACTGGATTGTGTAAACCCTGGATGTGGGAGGGAAATTTTTCTTTTCTATTTGTATTAATTTTTATCTTTTATGTTTTTTTATGTATGCTTTATAATTTATACTATATTAGCATAGAAGTTCTAATATAATTTATGAACAAATATATTTGAGGATATGTGCTTAAACATTTTTACTGTTAGAGGTGCATGATCAGAAAAGTTTAGATGTCATGGGCCTAGGAAAAAGGAATTTCTGGGCTGGATCATATGCTCAGTTCAGAAGAAGACTACTTTGTAGATTGAGGCAAAGGCCTTATAGAAATAGGGTGTGGATTTTCCCTGCCTTTTCCTTGCCTTTTGTACTTTCCTTTGGGGATGTAGAAGTTAGTATTGCAGAGCAGAATGCCTGTCATGCAACTAAAAATTGCATCCAGTGGTGCGTTGGAGCTGGCTCATGCTTGTTTTGTGTGAGCCGATTGTTAAATTTTCAGGAGTTTTGCAAACCAGCTGATATCATGTTGTTAGATTGAAATAGGCCACGGTGGGAGTAATTAAACCATGAAAATTGGCAGATACTGAAAATCAGGCTCCCCATTCTGAGCCAGTTGTTAAACAATTACTGGCACACTGTCATGCATATTTATAATCATATTTCTTGATTTTTCTTTTTTCTATCGTCTTAACTACTCTTATTATGGATCTCATTCTTCTACAGTATAAATTTAATAAATGGTGAGAAGAGCACTCAGACTGTGAGAGGGAAACATAAAGGTCACCATTGATAAGCTCTGTGATTCCTAGTTAGTTCATTTCAGTTCAACAGGCTTTTGTTGAGCACCTATAACACTAATTGCTAGACACTCTGGGAATATAAAGAAAAATTGTGTGTGTGTGTATGTGTGTGTGTATCTGTATACTTGTACTGTGTGTATTTTGGTGGTGTATAGCTGAATTAGGTTCAATAATTTCTTCTGTGAGAAAATGTTAATTAAAGCAACACTTATGATTTTATTGTGCTTGATAACAGTAGACAAATTATGTACTGTTAAAGGTTTTATAATCTAGTGAAGACAGAGGATGATAAATGTCTTAAAATAATGAGATATGTTCAAGGTCAAATATAGTAGTGTATCTGTCCAAGATGACTAGCTTTTATTCCAAAGAAAAGCAGTCTTCTTTTTCATGAACATAATGATGTTTTGTCCTCACAGAAACCTGTAATGCCATGCAGGTAAGATTTATCAGTTTTACAGTCTTTATTGATTCTGCCCTATCCTTGTCCCATTTCATCAGCCAGCAAATGTCCTTGTTTCTGTCTCTGAACTATTTTTCCAAGATGTATCTTTCTATTTCCACTAGTCCTGCTCTAATGAAGGCTCATTACTTCTTTTTGGCTCATTCATTCATTTATACTTCAAGTAGTTGTTGAGTGCCTACTCCGTCCCAAGCACCTTGTTAGAGGATACAGAAATGAATGAGACACACAGTCCCTGCCTTTGAGGAACTCACAGGCTGGAAGACCACTGCTCATGCTCAAATGTGCAGTACATAATGTCAGATTACTTTCACTAAAGCATTGTTGGAATTACATTATTCACCTGTTCAGACTCACTGCTCAATGCCGTGATGGTATTCAAGATCCTCTGTGATCTGGGTCTCATCTACCTTTCTGGGTTTATCTTCAGCTCTTCTTCTAAATGATCCTTGTGCCTTAGCCAGTCTGGGTTACCTGGTGTTGTGTTTGTACTTGATAGCTTACAGCCTTTCTTCTACACTTCTTTTGGAGCGTTTTCTTCACTTTTCTTCAGTTTTATATGTCCTGTCTTCCAGGTTTCCAGGTATGGCTGTACTGGTTATATCCTGTATAAGGGTACTTCCTGAGGGGTCGAGTGATGACAGAAATCCATGTGACCCTCTTCATGTGCATCTGCAGGCTGCATTCTAATTCACAGTGAGACACTATAAGCTAGCCTTGTCCTGAAGGGCAGCTTAGTCAAGTGCTCCATGAATTCCCCCCAAGTGAGGGTCGTTTTTCCACCTTGCGAAATCCTGTAGCACTGTTTATTTGTATTATTATTGCACCTATGC